CTAGCTCATTGAAAACTGGTAAAATCAATGTATTGTTGATGTGGCATAGAAGGATGTCCACAAAGTAAAAGAAAGATGTCCACATAATAATAATAAGGTATTTATCTACCAATTTTTTAATTTAAATCTTATATTATATAAAGTAAAAGATATAAATATTATAATGAAAAAAATCATACCAAAGAATAAAATTGTTTTATTAAAAAATATGTACAATAGTTTATTAATCTTAAAATTAAACATATATGGCAATCAAATTTAGGATTTGGAAAAAAAATAGAATCTTATAAGTAGAAGAAAACTTGTATGTAAAAGAAGTTGTATTAAAATTAGTAATAAATCTAAATAAAATATAAATTAGAAGCTCATATATTCTTATTTTTTCTTCTATTAAAATATTAGCAAACATATAGATACATTAATGCTTAACAAACATCTATAGATTACCCTTTATGAAATAATAAATAATTATTAGACAGCCGGAAATTTTCATAAATAATTATTCAAGAACTACATCTTTTTCTTCAATCATTGTTTCAAATGTGTTGTGCAAGTACATGCAGATATTATTCTTGTTGAGGAGATCGCAACATGGACGGAAGCAAACAAACTCCGACTGTGGTGCACATTTGTAACGCCGAAGCTGCAAAGTCCAAGCTCCCCAAGGATGGACTTCACCGAGAAAAAAACACGAAGCTGTCACGGCCGATGTGGCAAAAACAGTACAACCAGAACACATGAAGAAGAAGAAGAAGAAGCTGAGCAGGAGCATCGCGTCTGAAATCGCTCCGCAAGCTCTGGTGGTGTCACTAAAATTACAAGGAAGGGGGTGGGCGAGGCAGCATCCAGAGGAGTCAAGAAGCAACACAGTCTTGCAAAGGTCGGGATTGATTCCGGAAAGGAACGCGCAGCCCCCGATTTCATGGCACTACCGAAATTAGACAGCCGGAAAACTCAAGGCGAAGAAGGAGAGCGTGAGCACTAGCAGGAGCAACAGGCAGACGGAGGACGGGGAGGAGGGTGGGAGGATCGCGTCCCTCGTTTGCCGGCCTCGCTTGCAAAGGAGGTCTTCCCTGGACAGCACCCACCTCGACCTGTTCATACCTCCCCCACTTCCCTCCCTCCTCCTGTCGCTCCGCGTCTCTTCAAGCCGTTTATTTATTTTTATTTTTATTTTTTGTGTAATTTTGTATTCAAATAAGTTCCTTTGCTACGTGAAGGTCACCACGCGTGAGTGCTAGTCTTGCACGTGAACTGCCACACTACTGCTGGCCTTGATCTCAAATGCAAGCGCTGAATGGACGCCGACCTCGAGCGTGTACTTGTGCCTCCGCGGTGAAGGGTGGGAGATTCGACATGAATTTATGTGCGTAGATGGACTTTCTATCGGTACACAACTTGAGAGTTTCTAGTGCTATGTGTGTGTGTGTGGGTGTGGGTGGTTGGGTTTTTTATTTTTATTTTTGTGTTTTTCTGTTCGTAGGGGATGATTCTGCAAACGCTTCAGTTGTGAAAGTTCAGGTCATTGATCCGAATGTTCTGAGAATCAATGAAAGGTGGCTCTTCACCTCTCCTTCGAGTTTCTACTACCTCGCAGTAATAATTCATGCAAGCTTTACATTCGGAACATTAAATTTGTTTTGCTATTCTTTCCTCTTCGATGTGACGACTCGCTGTCGCTTCCGGATTGGTCTTCTTTCCCACCATTCTTTTTATAAAAAGCTGACAAGTTGAACTGTAATATCTAATGGAAAGAGCAACACTCTGTGCAAAAGAATTAGGTTGAGCCGAATACAGGAACGACACTTGGATTGAGTTTTCTTTCTAGAAGAGTCGTTTCTGCGCAGGCCAATTTCGCCCGAGCACAAACAGTGATCATGCAATCCATCCTCTGACACCACCCATCATTTTCAAACGAGCAAATCACAGGGCAATAGCTGAAGGGATCCCTGAAGCTAAAAGATGTCTTCACATGGCTGCCAGATGACGATGAGGAAGGGACTCTCTCAAATCAGAATTCGCTGAAAATGGCTGGAGAACCGAAACGTCACATACCCCTAAACTGTAGGAACTCAAAAATCCATTTACGCATTGGCCCCCGAAATTTTTCATACTTTCTCTGTGGCCGCTCTCAAAGCCTCTAGATGCAGACAGCACCGGGATGGTCACTCAAATCAAGGATCCCCACTCTGCCCACCAACACACCTTCAACGAAAAAACAGGACGACGCCATTTCCCTTCCTGGAGAACGACACCACTGCATTGAATGAGGGAGGACCTAGTCCAGAAGCCACTCTCCCCCTCCTCAAATCCACAAGTCTCTCGCCGAGACGACTTTTCCCAGGGCGGCCACGCCGTCCCATCTCACACCCTGGATTCTTCCGATTATAAACAAAAAAAGTATATAGTAGATGTGGTTCTCCATGTCAAAGAGATGGTTGGTTCTAAATTGGGTGGTGATGACTTTTTGAAGATGGTCCATTATTACTCTACCAAGTTAAGTTATATTGTTTTAAAATATTGTATTTTTTTTGGATAACCTTTATTTTATCTATGATTATCACTCTTAAATTAATAGTAATCAAATTAATTAAGTGAGTAAAATGATTTTTTTAGCTTATCTAAATTCTTTCTTTAGATAAATATCAGTTTTAATAAATCATCATTCCAATGCTATATTTAGAAATTAATTCTTAATGATCCATCAAGTATTTTTGAAATTTCACTATTGGGATTTGAATTTTCAACCATCTTGATAATATTTTATAAAATTAAGTACAAATTAGCCAGATATTGTAGAACCACTGTAAATTTCAACTCCAAGATGAATACAATCCAATAAATCATCAACTACAACATATTTAGTCCAGATAGAAGGTTTTGGCCTTTACTTGCTGCTTAGACAAATGTATGCAACAAATTTTCAAAAGAGAGTTTATTAGAAAAAGAAGCTTTGGTAAATGGTAAAGGTAGATATGCAAGGTGAGAAGCTGCTTAATATAATCATGTCAAATTAGATTTTTAAGTATCATACTTAAATAATAATAATAATAATAATAATAGATTTGATGTATCAAATAATAATAATATTTTTAAGGATATGTATTTTAAAATTAGCTATTATTTCTTTAAAAAAATATTTATCATCTTTGGCTTATACACTACCAAATTAAAAGAGGCACATTGACAAATTCTAGACTTATTCAAGCTCATAATTTGAATGAATGTTAATGAATAGATTATATATATATATATATTAATGAATAGATTATATATAATTATATATATATATATATATATATGTTAATGAATAGATTATATATATATATATATATATATATAAAATTTATATATGATATTAAAAATAAATCATAATTTATAAATTATCAAATACAAGACTTTAAATATTATGTCATTTGAATTGTAAAATAAATTTTCCAATACAATCTAGTGATAGTATTTGAAATTACAAAAATACAAGCTAATACATTGTTTGCTTAATATGTCTTAAATTACAAAATATATATATATATATATATATATATATATATATATATATATACATATATATATTAATAAAATTATATATATATATATTAATAAAATTATATATATATATATTAATAAAATTATATATATATATATATATATTTAAAACATTATTGGTACAAATATGTATTTTCAAATATAAATAAAAATACATTAAAATTTTAATTATAAAATTGTATCAATAATTTTTTCAAAAAATAAACTAATTTTTACTCATTATTAAAATAATTTTTATTTTTATCTACTCATGAAAAAATCAAATTCATCTTTCAATTTAAATTATTTTTTTAAAAAATGAATTAATTTATTTGTTACTTATTAAAAATAGAAATTGTGAAAGTTGGGTGGCATCATGATTTGTCATACTTATTCTTTACCTGTGTGCACATATATATAAATATATATCTTCGTCACATGTTTACAATAAAAAAAGAAGATTTCTTTAGAACACATTTTATCTTAAACTTGTAGAATTTTCACATTTGTTTATTCAAATTAGAAATAATATTTCCAACATTTTTCCAACACTTAGATCAATTGTGCATATACTCAAACATATATATATATATATATATATATATATGTGAATCGTTAATTTTACACACAAGAATTCAAATGCCACAAATACTCAATCAACGACATGTGAACCCCATGCATGGAGAGAGAGAGACCCAAAAAAGTAGCGTCCACGTCACCATCCTCACACGCACACGTGGGACGGGGTTCCAAGGTAACCACTTTTTATTATTAATTATTTGTTTATTTTATTTATCGGGCTGCCCGAGAACAGGGAGAGATTGGAGATAGGGAGACTCGGGCACTGCCAGGGGCAGCAGTAAAGGCTGCGAGGGAGGGAGGGAGGGGGAATAAAGCAGGCAGGAAGGCAGGCAGGCAGGCATGCAGGCCCCGCAATGTCTCTGTCCGTCTGTCGCACATTATGAAAGGGGGGCTTCGACGATAATATGCATGCAATCAATCGAGGACGAGGACGAGGACGAGGAGCATCACTCCGAGTCTGCGAGGTGCGGAATCAAAATCCATCGTCAATCGCCACGAAAGGTAGTTTCCTGGTCGCCATCCATCCACCCTCCCCTGGAAAGTCGGGAAAAATTCGGATGCGCGACGAAGGTAGTGGCGCACAGCGCTCCGAATTCGACCTGCAATGCACCACTCCCAATTCTATAAGCTATGATATGACTTCGAGGGATTCAGGCTCGCAGCTCCGCCGCTGGTTTTATATTTACATATATATATATATATATATATATATATATATATTAGTTTAATTGGAGTAGGAATTTGATGTGTAGCGGGGAAGTAGGGCCATCCATCGCACCGCGAGGAACTAGGGGGGGGGGGGAGGGGTATCGAGGTGGATGAGAGGCACACACGAAACCTGGGCAAACATTAGAATAGGTGGACGTGGGAGGAATGTGGTCGTCGCCGGTGTGTGACACAACGAGTAACGAAGGGTGAGGGGATGACCTGCCACGGAGTATAACGTTGTGAGTAGCTGGAAACATGCGTAGCAAAACGACAGGGGCGTGAGCAACAAGGCGAGACCACCGCTGGCATATTCCAGGTCCTCGCCATCCACCCGAGATTCGTCTTGTCGCTAAATCTCTCTATCCACCCTCTTCCCCTCCTCCTCATATGACCACTTCGTCACTGCCACGCCGTACCTTTACCGCCTCCACTCGCTGCTCAACGCTAACCTGTGCTGCTCTCACTCGCTCTCACTCACTCCATCTCTCGATAGCGCGAGTGCGATCGCCTTTGTCTGATCGGCTGCGGACAATCTCGTGTAAGTTCCAAGCTGATCGATTGATCGGTCACGAAGCTGTTGAAAGCTGGTTTTAGAATGTGCCACAAGGGCGTCTGCTTGCTGCTGGGTTGTTGATTCCAATTGGCTGACTTCCGTTGTAGGATCCCGCAGGTGGAAGTCTCAGGTTTGCGAATTTTTCGGGATTTGGTCGTTTGAAACTCGGCGGTCTACGTGCGTTTGAAATTGCATCGAAGGTTGGTTTGCCTAGCGAGGTCAGCAAAAGCTCGTGGATTATGGGTGCAAGGCCTTTGTTGCCCTTTTCGACTGCAAAAGTTTTCTTTCCTTGGTGATCGAGCTCGAGGTTGCATACCGTTGTTGCTGTGGTGTTCTCGTTGCTGGAATGTGCGGGCGAGTGTTTGCCGCACGTCGTTGGCGCACAACTTGAAACTTTTTAGCTTTGCTGATTCATATAAAATTTCGCACCCGCTACGGACTTGCTGTTGTATCCTAGGTAGTCTCAGCACCTTGCAAGTGCATTGTGCATCACCAGTGCCTTTCCCAGGTAATGATTCTAGAGGTGCATGTGTAAGCTTATGAATGTGTGTTTGTCTGCGCTCTGAAGTTCATGTGCATGAAGTGGTGGTTGGGTTTTGAGGATTAAGATGAAGTCAAAGTTAATTCGGACCTTAATGCGTTTGATATTCCGCAAATCTAATTTTCAAGTACATGTGCAAAGTGTGTCGGCAAGTGGGAGGTCCGGAGTTAGACGTAAGCGCGCGCGCGCGTCTCCCTTCTTAGTTGCTTTCCTGGCACTCCTTCGATAGAACCGATACTTCGGAACTGTTCAATAGGTCCCTCGAATCACTTTGACTGGTCGGCTCCGTTCTTTCGTTCTATGGTAGTGCTCAGGTTATGGTACTTATGTTTGCGCTTCGAGAGCTCGAGTACTCCTCTGCAGGCTTTCAGTACTCCGGGAGGATCCTCAAAATACTGAGAGAAAGGTCGAGTAGTAGAAGATGGAGTAACCATTTGTTTAGGCCTTAGCAGTTGATTCAATGGCTGGAAACGGAACAACTCTAGATGCTGAGTAGATTTGCAGTGGTGGTGGGGGAGTTCTGCGAGCTTGTGAGCGTTTTGATAACTATTTGAACTCTTCACAGTTTGATTGCAAAGCGATGTGAAATTAAGATAATCGAGCAGCAAGATAATGCATCAGCACCTGGACCCAACATATTTCTACCTCTATTTCAAATCTTCTGGTAAGAAGCACAGATGGATGCAATTTGCAAGTCCGTTCAGACCTTTCTGAAGATGGTCTCTTCGTGTTGGTAGCCCGAGAAAGATGTAGTTGTTAATACGCTTGGAGTGAAAGCGCTACATTCGGAGAAGTAGAAGTGGGGCAGCACTCATGCAACAGATTCACATGGAGTGTGCGGATATTTTAGACTTCAAATTTCATACCCCTTGCTTTGAGGTTTTAATGCTGCACTTAGTGTTCACTAAACTGAGTTTTAGGGTACGGTCCTTGACATAAACCTGGAAACTTGTGTCGCACGTCTGAATTAAAGGTTAGCACACATTCCAATTGGTTTTTGAAACTGTGATGCTTTGGTGGCGAATTTTGCAGGAAAAGTACAGTCTGACGCTGGTCGAGGTCAGCACAAGGAAAAAGCTTTCGTCCGTGCTATTCAGATGTGGAAACTTGGATTGGTGTTACGCAAGTACCCTGGCCCCTGCCCTTGACATCAGATGACTTGCACGCCACCCCGCGAATCAGTTGTCGATAATCTGTTTCGAGGTAGTACCGTAGAATAGCAATATCAGAGATCGGATTGCGACGTTTTCTTTATTTCGTCATGGTTTCCTAGGACTGTGACAATCTTGCGCAACACCGTTTCGACATATTGCAGTAACTTTAGTATTATTCGGCGTGAAGTTTCTTATCTCGAATTCTGCCATTCCCAAAACTGGTACCGCAACACACCGAAAGGGTTAGAATTGTGGAGCTCAACTTGGGGAGCATTCAAGCCGTTTGTTGCCCTGGTACCCCTCGTGGCGGCATATGGTACATTACAGGCGCTGTCATGGTCTTTATGTTACTCTGCTCTTTGCGTCCCTATTCCAGAGATTACTTGAGCAATACTTTCTACTTCAGTGTTCTAAGAGCCCTTCCAAAGACATCATAATAGATCCCAGTAGCCAACCTGTTTTCAAGTTCGGCAAAAACTATGTGTTCTTGCATTTTGGGGAGGTGATCTCTTAGACTTTAATTTCGTAACGTCATTGCACTCTAGGCCTGATTCCTGGGCCTTTGACTGGGACATCAAGTTGAATTGGCCATGCTCTACCCTTTCCGGTACTCAGCTTAGAAAACCCAATCCAAGGAAACTTTTGTTCGTGTGGGACCATCCGTTTCCGTTTCACTTTCGACCTCTATCTTTAAAGTTAAATTATCCAATTGACGAATCATCTCTGGAATATTGGCAACTTCGAGGCAATCGAGATTCACAGCACACCAAGAGATTCCAGAGCTGAAGTATATAACAAGGACATTCAAGTGAGCCAATTGGACACTCCAATTCCACAAGTGGCCGGCATAGAACGAGAAAAATAACAGTCGTAAGTATCAGCAGTGGCGATGTACCAGATGAAGAAGTATTCGAGCGTTGGGTTGGTTCCACATCGGCAGCACCAAGTGTCTCCATATGCCTCCGCTGTGTCCTGTGAGGAAATGAGCCCCACAGACCCCAAACCTCGACTGCGATGGACTTCCGAGCTGCACGAGCGCTTTGTGGACGCTGTCACTGAGCTCGGTGGCGCTGACAGTAAGTTCATATCCTCCTTCACACCCATTTCTGTGCCCTTACATCTCAACGTTCTCACATTGCCAGGCCTAAAAGAAAAATCTGGAGATTTGCATTTGTTTTAACGCTCTAGCAACGCATGGTCTCTACATGGCAACCCACGTGCCTCGTCGTATGTGCATGTGTGGCTTAGCTCATCATCGTTCTTTTTAAAAACAACCTTCACAACGAGAGTTTAACGTTTTTAAATTGATGCTGGTGTCTCAGATTGCTTTCAGATGATTTTTCTCACAAGTAATGTTGTCTAATCGAAACCTTAGTTCAAGATTCTGTCATGTCCATATTCTCCTTCAATCCTGAAAGGCAACGACAGGAAGTGGAGTTATCTCGACGACAAGCTCAAGGCATTTGCTCCTTCCAAAAGACCTTGATGAATAATGGTCAATTTTCTCGTTTGTTATCACGGTCACTCCATGTACCAGGATTTGAGTAGAGCCTATGTGACAGAGTACAACGTTTACTTCAATGCGGATGTTGTCAGTGGTACACTCGATACCTTACACACGTGGTTCACGATGTTATCTCTGGTTATGGTATGACACCGTGAACCACGTGTTAACGACTCGAAGAAAGCGAGTACACAAAATCTAGGAACACGATTTCGCCGATTACCATTATATGATGACATAATCATTCGCCTTTGATGTTGCTGACTAAGTTGGTAGTAAAATGTATGTCTTCGTGGGATTAGTATTAGGTCATCAAAACTAACTCGTCTGTCATTGTTGTTCACAATGGACAGAGGCTACACCGAAATCTGTAATGAGAGTCATGGGAGTGAAGGGTCTTACTCTTTACCATTTGAAGAGCCATCTTCAGGTAGGCTGCTCGCACTTACTGCGCATTTCATCAGCAGTAAATTATTAATATTACGTTTTCCTCTTCTCTTTCGATCACATTGTGTTCATTCTATGGCATTCGTTAAAGTAAACATTAATTTCGACTTAGGGCTTGCAGAAATACAGGCTTGGTAAACAGCTTCATAGAGACTCCCGTGTTCATGAAGCTAACAAGGACGGCAGTCATGGTAAAGAGAAAAATGTCTACATTCTTTGTGTTGATTGGCGAAACTCTCGATGTTCTCCATAGCAATTTTTCTATGATTTCCGCGCCATGGAATGATGGTTGTCTTTCGTATGCACTGTGCAGAGTCTTCAGACATGCAGGGAACGAGTAATGGTACATCTGATGGTACCCTGACTCCAACATCGCAGAATCCGCAAGAGTATGTCTTCTTTCGCACATTAATTTGGTTCTAGAATATTCTTCTGAAGTTTAGAAAGACAAAGGATTTCTGCGCATGACCTAACAGAAATATGACTGATGTATGCAGCAATATTCAGATTCCTGAAGCTATGCGCTTGCAAATGGAAATCCAATGTCGACTCCATGAACAGCTTGAGGTGATGGCCATGGCACTTTTAACATCTCACTAGATTAGCCCTTTCACTGAATTGGCAACATATCAACATGCGTCCCAATTGCAACGCATGATTCTCATAGTGGTTTGTAAAAGCAGGTTCAAAGGGAACTTCAGTTGCGAATAGAGGCGCAAGGAAAATACCTGCAGACCATCTTGGAAAAGGCGAAAGAAACGTTAGCTGGCCATACGTCGACATCTCCGCACGTGAAAGCCGCACACGATGAGCTAACGGAATTGGCATCCAAGGTTATCAGTGATCCCGGCACCTTTGAGGTCACTCTACCTCAACATCTGGCTGGTTTGAACCCTCCTCAGCTATCCAATCATGCATCAGACTCGATGCAAGTTGTCAGCAACCGAGTACAGGACGTCACCTCGCCCTCGTTGCCAGGGCTGCAATCCGGCCGCACGTCAGACACCTCGTCCCCGAAATCTCAGCTCACTACCTTTCAGGAAGACAGTGGGGGTGTCTCTGGCGGGGGCGAGCAACCAACTGTGCCAGGTAACAAAGGCTGCTCACCTTCGAGTACCTTTAAGCATCTGGTCGTGAGAAAGCCTTCTCTATGCCCTTCAAAGTCATCTCTTGTAGTGTACTTGGCATGGCACAGGGCCGTGGACTATATTGATTCCTGGACTTTGTGGGTATAAGAAGAACATCGTAACAAAGTCCCCACTCCAACTTGTTTTAAGGATCGCTGAATTTTGATTCAGGAGAAGGTCGAACATGAAGGATGTTTCTGACTTGGTGATGAGACATGAATCTCTCACCCCCAGGCTCAAAAAATGTATACAATCATGCATGACCCTCACCCATGTAACGACTGAGCTGTGAGAGTCCGATGCGCGGCTAGGGACCGACCGTTGTGTGGATAGATTTGGTGACCAAATATGGGGGCGTTTGTGCACTTTGCATTGAATGTCATTTCTCGCAAGGTCCACTTTATGTTGTCTAACGGCAGCAGTGTAGTAGCGGTCGCTACAGCAATTCAAGTAATTGCAATAAGTCGTGCAAGTTGCAAGGGCCCGTCTCACGAGACACAAGTCAGATGACGAGACAAGTCACAAGACGAAAGACTAATTACATGGATGATTATGTTGGGGGATGTGGGTGGTAAACAGGTGGCAATAGCAACACTGGCAACCAAATGCAACTCTCGGCTGGCGGCAACAGCAGCAGTAACAACGACGAGGTCGACGACGATCATGGTCCTCGACTTGCGATTAGCGCGACAGAGTTCGGAGCATCAGCAGGGCCAGGTGTCCCCCCCGAGCGGCCAACTCCTCGTCGTGGCGCCATCCCTATCCGGTTCACTGACTCCCAGAAGAATAACAACGACAACAGATTCCATAGCAACGTTATCGCTGCATCCTTCCCGCTGCAACAGCGCATGTCCTCAACTGTGAATGCTGAAGGCGCCCTCGACTTGAACCATGGCGACCACCATCACTCCCACACAAATAGTTCCAACTCAAACGGGAACAGTATTCAGCCCGAGCGTGACGGTGACTTGGATCTCAACGCCGTGGGCTGGGAACGCTAAGTTTCGTCCTGTTTCCCATCTCAATTGCTGTACTCGAAATTGTTGAAGAAGAATCCTCAGGTTTCTGATGCTTATTCGTTCCACATATATTCACAAATCCATTCATGTGTTCCATTCTTGTGGTCGTGAAGTCTTGAGGGGCTGTACTTCTAAGTACTTTCCTTGTAGCTTTAGGATTGTGCACTGTTTGTTTAGGATGAATGGAGTTTTTAAGGATGCAATTGCTATATCGTCGTTTCGTCTAAATATCGTGGCATTATGTCCTAGTGTTAGATTTTAGCCTACTTCTAGATGATCGACGTATGAAGGGAATTGGACCCACCAGGTTGCTCTGGATAAATGATGCATGATTTTCTCGATTGATGCTTCCTCGTTTCAGCCATCTTCCTCCGAGACTAGAAATCAAAAAGCTTGAAAATTGACCCCAACATGGGGTAGCTATCCTGAATGTCGCAAATGTACAGGTCTTGATGGAGTAACTTGTGTTTTTGGAGCATAAATTTGCCAAACGAGCCAAGATTCTTCGTTGTATCCTATTTGCAGTGTTATTCGAAAGGGGGATTCGTATCAAACGTCCTCAGAAACTGCCGCTCTTTTCCTACGTCTTTCTATTACTGTCAATTATGTACATTTTCATGCACAATTTATTACCTCCAGTTGGAAGCAAATAATCAGTGTAATTCGATTATTATATTTCCTTAAACTCCCAGCAGTTTTTGGAAACACAGACGACTTTGAACTATTTCAAGAAAGAGGGGTCTGCTCATGTAATTCCGACTGAAATACACAACACGCGTCAATCCTATTGAGGAATAATATTAGAATCCTCCAGATAGTTGAAAACGGTTAATCACCAGTAGACTGGTTGACTAAAACACTGACCAACATGTTCCCTTAGACCGATTAAAATAAAAACCATTCACATCGTTGTATTCATTGATTTTTCAAAGGATACAACCATTCGGGGCAGGCTTACTTATCCCCTCTCTGACTACTTTGCAGACAGAAGAAAGTTGCTGCTTCTGGATAAGCTGATCTAAGCTTCAAATATTATGTGAACATTTTTACATATACTAGTAAAGTTGACACAAACATGACGTCTGAGTGGCTCGTTCGATATCAGCCACTGTTGCCTATCGAGGCTTCAAAGGCACATTCTAAGCATTTGTAGCCAACTCAAGGTCCCTGGGCAAAGATAATTCAGCATCAGTTGGTTTAAGATAATAAATCCAACCATGAACAGAGGGCTTAGTGACTATAGCTTGAGAAATAGTTGTTGAGGGACGGCATGATCTGTGGTCCATGCTTTAAAGCATAATGTCGAAGTCTGTGATTCTTGTATACTTCTCCCTCTTTATAATTCTCCAACACTCCTGCTTCACGATCCTGCTTTGAAATTCTGTAGAAAACCATGCACTTCAGTCCATGTTCACGGCAAGCTCCCAGGTTCAGACACAAGAGCGTACCATCAAAGCACAAACTGAACTGATCAGGAAATAAACGAGAGAATAGTCTACAGAGTTTTCTTTTTTCTTTTTTTTCAAACAAAAGAAAAAAATTGAAAAAAACTCAATCCAGTTGCATACCTGACATCAGGATTGACGGCAATACTACGGGCCATGACAAATCCACCCATGGACAAAGCCGTTGCGACGGCTAGAAACAGTGGATAGATCTGCATCCCAAAGAACAAACCAATTCATCCAGACACTCCTCGTGAAATTCACAGCAGACGTGCCCCAGACTCAAACCTTTCATCCAGAGCCATCTACGCCAAAACTCCACACGTCGCAACACAAAAAAGCAAGTTCGAAGCCTGAATAAGTTCATCCAACTCGAACGAGGAAAAAATCAACCCGAAGAAGTCCCCCAACACACAGCACTCGACCCGAGAAAAGAACAACGTTACCTCAGGCTTGATCCATTGCTTGTAGGAAGGGATCTTTGCCGCCATGTCGATCTGTCTGCAAATCCGACCTGAAGCAACAACAGCAGCAGCAGCAGCACGAATAACACTTTCTCCAGGTTCAAACGAGCTTGATGTTATGGCAATTGGGGGTCGATTAAGGAAGGTCTATCTAGAAAGTGAACTGGGTGTTGTGGAGAAGATATATATATATATATATATACATGGAGTGAGATTCTAAATGGGAGGAATTCATGAGATGACTGTGCTATGAATGGCTCTGGCTGCGCTCTATTCAAGCTCCATGCTGATGCTGCAAGGGCACAGGGCAGGGAAAGGAAAGGAAGAGAATAAGGACAAACTTGAGCACCGGGTTGGGGGCTGAAATCGACAAATGGAGAGCCCCACCTCGGGTTTCCTCTCTCTAGTCCGAGTCAGATTAGTAGGTGATGCTGCGGAGTAGGAGTTAGCCCCCCTCGGACCTCGTCCCCCCGTTCACACCGCCACCGACTCTTACCGCCGCTCACCCCATGTCCATGTCTGACGTAGAGACATTGTTCCACGTGTGTGTATGGATGGATGAATAGCTGGCTAGCTGGATGAATGAATGCTTGGTGGCGTCACTGCCAACTCACTATTTTTTTTAACAGTTTGGGATGAGATTTCGTGTTCGGCTGTTTACTATCGTGGGTTTTTCTATTTGTTTTGTTTTATTTTTATTTTTTGGTTTTTTATTATTTATATTTTTGAAGCGTGGATGTTCTATTATTTGGTTTTTTTTATTATTTATTTATTTATTTATAATTAGGATTCTATCTTTTGAGGCTTGCTTAACTTCAATTCAATTTGTATTGATATTAATGATTATCAGTGATGGGGAATTTATTATGTGGGAGTATATATATATATATAAAGTACATATACACTTTAATTTTCTCTAAACATGAAAATAAAAAAACGAGTGCAGATTAATCTTCTTTCTTCTGGGGAGGGGAGAATCATATTATTGTATCAGGAAATTTGAAATCACATAACATGATTAACATTTTCATACTATTTAACATCATTGCTTCTGTTTGTTTTTAGTTAGTTAGTTAGTTAGTTTTTTTTTTTTTTTTTTTTTTTTTTTTCAATAAAAAAATTTCAGATTCAATAAAAAATTACAAATAATTGTAAATTAGATATTAGAACAACATTCAAAAATTTTCCAATAATTCAATTTTATAACTAAATGTAAATAAATATAATTGCATAAATATGATAATTTTTTACAGAAACAAATAAATTTTGATATATCTTAATTTTTATCATTATACCTCATAAAATAGTCAATATGTCAAAATCAAAGAAAGAAATTATCAACATAATAATTATTATTAAATGTTTATATTTTTTACCTTATTCTCTACTTTAATTAATTAATTTTTTTTAAATAATGAAGAACCAAAAAAATATTTGAATAATTTCAAAATAAGCCATCAATACATTGGGTATGCCCAGGTTACAACTTTTAATACTACAACATAATATTAGAAGTTGTAACACTAATCAATACATTGGGTATGCCCAGGTTGTGTCAAAGAAAAACCACAAAAAAAACAGTCCTCTTTGGATACTGACCCGTTCTTGTCCACACATTCTCAAAGCCTGGGAGTTCAAACTATCTCTACTTCATGAACTTCGAAGTACAGCAACTATGGAGATTACTTCGGCCACTGACTTAATGGCACCAGGACTGTTACGCAAGCTCTGTCCGTGGATGAAGTACAGATGCCTCAGGAACACATGCAGTAAGCCACAGGCTTTAAAATGAAGGACCTGGATTTCATGCATTTGGCTTCTTGGGAGTTTTCTCTTGATACAACCTCATGAGCAAGCATGCCTTGGAAGTAGGTTATAGGTTCGAAAGCAGGCATTTCAAAGCTTTGCAGCTTTAAGGTGGACGGATGTTAATCGGTTTGTGGCGTTTACATTTGCGCCATAATTTTGGATCCTCGGTGTTTCATTTCTATTTGCGAATGCAGAATATTCAGTCTCACGTTTCTTACTCAAGTAGAGTTCCAGGATTGGATTGCAGCGGCGGTATTTTACTGTTTGGTCCTCCCGCACAAGGACGGTTTTGTACACTTCGGTGTCCGTAGTCCAAGCAGTTGGAATTTTGTTTCTTCGGTTACGGTGGTAAGGTCAGCGCACAATACCACCTTCTGAGTCAAGTCTGAAATCTCCGATCGGTTCAGCACTCGGTGTCTCCACTTGAACGAAATCCTTTTCGGAGGCTTGCTTTTGTAGCACCTGAAGATCATGCATCGGAACAAGGTTTACGGTCACCTGGAATGGGCAAGACACAAGTCGTCCTGGAGGCATGGCCGCCACATCTTCAGCATCTTCTCTTTAGGAGTCATCTTCACCGTGTTTCCTCCAGTTCTCGTCTGCACCCTCTTCGCAACGTTCTCAGTGTTATCTCTCCTCCTCGTCTTACGAACCAACTCGTCCTACAATCGATTCGACGAAGCTCGCAAGTTCTGGGGATCGAACGTAAACAGGACCAGAGATCTGGTGCGCCAGTCGCTGACATGGATACGTCAGCCAGGGGACTCCTTTAAGTTACTCTCCCTCCTGCGCCACATCAAGGCGTACTTCTTCTGCCTAAGGACCATCTAACGGAGAATCAGACCCTCCGCGAAGACCTCGTCGGCATTTCCGAGCCCCACGAGCAGCAGAGCACCCTGAGCTCCCAGCACCGCACCAACTACATTCTGCAGGTTCTGTCCGAGCTCATTCTCAAGACCCCCATCCCTATCGCGTACACGCTGGTCACGTCCAGGTTTCTGATCCTCTGGCACAAGGCGCTCCTGTTGGCGCTTTGGCACGACTGAGGCTGGCTCACCATTCCTGCGACGTTCTTCACAGGGATGGCACTGTTCTACATCGAAGAGGTGAGGGTCGTGATCGAAGAGCCGTTCTGGATCTTGCCGCTCGGGTCGATATGCACCGGCATCGTGTCGGCGATCGAGGGACTCTCTGCCGCTCACAAGACGTCCCACCTGTTGTGGAGTCTCCACCAACCCATGACTAACCATGTGGTGAAGATAGCAATCGAGAGGTCCAAGACAGACTGGTTCTCTGAGAATCAGGATCAGATTGATGTGATGCTCACGAGAGTCAATTCCATTGCGTAGAAGAAACTTGCCTCACTCTGACATAATATCACGAACACAATGAGAGCGTTTGCTGTACTGAATCCGTAGATCCTCCGAGTTCATCGCAGTTTTACATCTTCAAGCCGATGAAGGATCTACTACCACACTTGTAGGATTTGTAAACATCAGACATTTTTGTACAGTTTAGCTAGATTCCCTGCATGACAGGATCTCGGCTTGTAATCGTCAGCTATTGTGTATCGGTGTTGGTCACATGCATGTATTGTGTTTCGAAGTTTCGACTTTCTCTATAGTTTGAGCTGCGAAGTTGA